AACAGCTGGTAGTTTCGAGCTGCTGATCTTGTGGTTCTCAGCCCAAGTCGTAACCAGTACTCTATCAGATCTCTGTAGTATGGAGGGGGTTGATCTCTTATTAAAATTTTTACACACAAAAATTACTTAATTTATTGAACTCAAATAAGGAGTGTTGCTGAAATTAAACCATACAACATTTTGAGATTGCTCGAGTGCCTGGCTCAAGACATATTCCAAAATGTTAGATTTTTTTTGTTGCTTTTAATAAAACTTATTGCTGCGACTTTAAATCATATTTTGGATGGGATCGTTGCTTTGTGTGAATCATTTGTTAAAAATCTGAACAGTTAAAAACATAATTAAAGGTGTTTTATAGAAAACACCAGTTGTCAATAGCCATTACATTTCCCTTTGAACTTCAGTAACTGTTTAGAGCACTTCAGCACAAATGATTCTCAATTCAGATATTCTAGTTAAAATTTTTCTTTCATTTTTATTAAAATTTAAAAATTTGACAAAATATGCTTATATATAAACCATAAGAATAGAAATATGAATGGGATCTGATTATATACAGCTACTTAAAAAAAAAAAAAAGAACGATACAAGGTTAACATTTTTTTCTTGTCATTAAATTGTTTTCTGTGAAATTATTTTCCATACTATTTTCTAAGGAGATGTTAGGTTTAACGTGAGATGAGATTTTTTTTTTTAAGTAGATTTAGGAAGGTCACACAACACATTAGCATATTAAAGAAATCTGGTTAACTTTTTTTATCCTCTGGTTATTGAAGCACTTCTTACATTCATACATGTGAAACACAAACACACATACCAGTCTAGACCAGTTTGGAGAAGTGCTACTCTATATGTAAAAAGGCCTAACTTTTTTGTAGCCATTTCTCCTTACTGTAAAGGGAAATTTCTCTATTAATGCAAGCTGCCCTGGTGTGGTGCTTTAGGGTAAATACTGGACTGCTAACCACAAGGTTAGCAGTTCAAATCCACCAGCCACTCCTTGGAAACCCTATAGAAGGCCGCTACGAGTCATAACTGACTTAGATGGCACTTTATAATAATACAGAATGTTAAGATGTTTGATAGGAATTGGTTTCCTGCAAGTATGTTACCAATTACTTTGTTATATTGGAGTCCTGGTATGTCACTGTTGGATAAGGACTGGATTTGCTAACCTCACGATCAGTGGTTCAAACCTACCAGCCCCTCCTTGGAAACCCTATACAGGGTCACTATGAGTTGGAACTGACTCAACAACAACAACTGTGTTATATTAGAAAACTTACTATTTTCCTAATTTATTATCAACACTAGGCGTTACCATTCTCCTGAATTTTACATTCCTTTTGATTATAGATTTTTAAATTGTTATTATTTCTTGTAATGAGTGCTTGCTTATCTGTTTCATACTGATGTGTAAGATCACTTTTATATTAAGTATAATTCCTTTAAAAAATAATAGCTTCAAATGTGTGTGCATCTAATATTTTAGAAAATAATTAGTCCAAGCAGAATGCTTTTATTGGAATTTTCCTATTGGGAATTTGAATTCAGAATCTCAGTCACATGCCTTTTTTTTAAAATTCAAATTAGAGTTTATTCTTGTGGATGTTTTTACTAATTTCCTAATAATGAATTCTTACTACTACAAGTTTCTATCAAATCAAGCTATGAGTTTCTGTTAGGAGCTAAAAGTTAGCATTAGCCATTGTACTCTGATATGTGTTTCTAAGTTTGATATGAATTTGTCAATTAAAAATTCCTAATCTACTTCTAAATCCATGACTAAAATTTAACCCTAATCATTTTGTTTGGGACTCCACATCCTATTGCTTAGGTAGGTTGCTGAGTTTCCTTGGCTTCTGAGAAGCTTATAAACATAAGCACCCCAATCAAACTAGCAAAAAAGGCTGGGGAAAGTAAAGACATAAGAAGAGTGGGTAAATCTGTAAAATTAGTGTTATTTTATTGATGTCAGAATTTTAAAATTGCCATCTCAGCAGATTAATTTGATATTTGAAATGATTTTAATAGCATGGCAAATAAGTGCTGACTGTTTTATTCTTTATTTTAAAATAGCAACATTTAATATACTTCCATTCTTCATGATTCAGCATCTAAGTACATTCATTGTTCAGAAAGTGTATTTTTAAGTTTGACTCACATACTTTAGTTATAGTTTTGCATTTGCCCTCTTTTTGAAGATGAAGAAATGACTTGTTTTTTATTCATAGCTTACCTGATGTATGGGTGAATGAAAGTGAACGACATCAATTAAAAACTAAAGTAGTTCATTTATCAAAGCTACCCAAAGATACTGCCTTGCTTTTGGATCCAAACATATACAGGTATGTAATCTTGACTTGATGTTATAAAGTTTGGATGTGTAAGAATCAGACTTATTCTTAAATATTGTTATTCAGTACTAAACTTGTCTTTGATTCGGATGCTTTGGTATGTGGAACTTAAAGCACAGTGTTAGAATGCTGAAAGTCAATTTTTCATAAAATTCCTATTCCAGTTTTATATATTGGGGAGTGTACTATGTGTCCTAGATATCCTAAGTGATTGACTTTAAAAAGAGCGTTTTAAGTACTGCATTTATTTTTACGAAGAGGTTGAACATGTTGACATTTCTAGAGATTTTCTTGCAACTCAAACGGATCTTGAGGTTGAGTGCTTATCCTATGGCGCCACACCAGGACTCCTTTATAAAGGTGTCACAGAAAGGAAAGGAATGCAGCTAGTCAGTATCCTAGGTGCTTTACTGATACGTCAGCCTCACAGCATCCCTGTGAAGTCGGTGTTAGACTGTCACCCCCATCTCTGTTTTGCAGATTGGGAAACTGCACCAAGATGTTACATAATCTTTCCCAAGGTTGCACAGATAGAATGTAGTAGGACCCTGTACTGCTGTATCCAAATGATAGATACTAGTGACTTAAAAAATAGTAAAATTGCCTAAAACTTGGTTTTAAAAATCTTTGTAATGAACTTTAATTTCCTTGCATTTAAAAGAGAAAACTTAATACATATTTTATGTAACAATAGGATGGGCAGGAGTAAAATTACACAAAATAATTGAAAGTTCTCAATGTAATTTTTTATAGTCATAAAGAGACTATATGACACTTGCCAAATTTTATAACACTTTGAAGATTCTGTTCATTCCATGACTCTACTTTTTGGAATGTTAACCTATAAGATGGAATTCCTGTAATTTGACATGTTGTCTGATAATGAAATTGTACTATAGTGTTCCTAGCCAGCTAGCAATACTGAAACTCTATAGTTTTTCTATTCCAAAAAATATTTTTTGGCATCATTTGAAAAATGCTGAGTGCAGTAAAAATGTCTCTTTGTGAAGTGAGATGGATTATTAAGAATTAACAAATACAGCAAACTGTGAATTGACTGTAAAGAAGAAGTCTGAGGAAAATACACAACCAAAAGTTAGAGGGAAATGATAACTTCACCTTTGTTTTATTAAAAAAAAAAAACAAAAAACAACACACCCAAAGATCCTTTATTATTGATGACTAATATTTAGGACTTATTTCTGTTTACTCTTTAGAAAGGTGATAATCAAAATGATCAAAATTGGATCCTGAAAGAGTAAAAACCATTTTGGGAGAGTCAGCGGTTCAAGCATACCAGCCACTCTTTAGAAATCCTACACAGGGTCATTATGAGTCAAAACCTACTCAACGGCATTTAATAACAACAACCATTGTAACATTAGAACTAACTGGTTAAAAACATCTTAGGCTGATAGTTGATAAAGGGGTATAAATTTTATCAGGTGAAGATTAACCTTTGTTTTAACCCCTACATCCCTGCCCCTAAAAGTCTTCCTTTTGCACAGAAACAATTTGTTGCTTCTGTCCTTTGTAGAAAGAAATTAATATATTTTGGTGATGTTGTTGTTGTTATATGCCACGGAGTCAGTTCCAACTCATAGCGACCCTGTACAGGCTCTAAATCTTTACCGGAGTAGAAAGCCTCATCTTTATCCTGTGGAACAGCTGGTAGTTTCAAACTGCTGACCCTGAGGTTAGCAGCCTGATTCGTATCCACTATGCTACAGTGACTTGAAAATCATTCATGGCAGGCTTGGAACTGTCTGTAGGAATAACTGATGTGCATATAGGAATCCTGTAACACATTCTCAAAGTGTGTGATTCTATAATTCTTACTGGTTTCATTATTGGGGGTTTGAGGATATTCTTAAGGATTTAGGTGCTTCTGTGGATTTCATTGGCATTAACTACACCAAAATTAAAAAAAAAAATTGATTTAGACTATTCTGGACGTTGAAACGGAATCAGTCCTACATTGGTGCAATTATTACAGATATTTACCGTGGCATGTGGCATATTTACTTGACATACGGTTTTTGATTGGGACAATTTATAAAGGGAGAAAACAAATAATTACTCGAACTTTGAAGACAAATAATTTCCTACATATACACATAGCAAATCTTCCAGAAATACATTCATTGCATTTTACACATATAATGCATGTGTTACATATTTTTGGTAAATCATGCAACCTCTTGTTCATTAATTTGCTATATGTTATGTGTATAATATCCTTGTTGTTGTTATGTGCTGTGGAGTCGGTTCCGACCGATAGTGACCCTGAACAGGGATTCTGAGGCTATAAATCTTTACGGGAGCAGAAAGCCTCATCTTTCTCCCACAAAACAGCTGGTAGTTTAGAACTGCTCATCTTGCGGTGTGCAGCCCAATTCGTAACCACTACGCTACATTATATGTGAAAAATAGGGTAACTTCAAAATGAGACTGAAAAAACATACTGATAATTAAACATCAGTTTAATATACTGTTAGGTGCTATTGAGTCAGTTGTAATTCATGGTGACCCCATGAGTTATAAAGTAGAGCTGTTCCATAGGGTTTTCTTGACTGTAATCTCAACAGAAGTAGAATTATAGGCCTTTTCTTCAATGGTGCTGCTGCCAACCTTTAGGGCAACAGCTGAGCAAAACAACTGCTTTATACTATCTCTGTTGTTAAGTGCCATCGAGTTGATTTCAACCCAAAGTGATGCTGTATAGGGTTTCCGAAGAGTGACTGGTGGGTTTGAACTGTCCTCCTTGTGGCTCAAACTTGACCTTGCAGTGCATGCATTATCCTGCAGCGCCACACGAGGACTCCATTAAGTGTTGTTGTTCAGTGCTGTTGCTTTGGTTCCGACTTACAGCAACTTTATATTGGGTTTTCGAGGAGCGGCTGGTGATTTTGAACTGCCGACTTTGTGGTTAAAACTGATCTTGCAGTCCAGCACATTAACCCGCAGCTCCACACCATACCATCTATGTTGTTTTTGTTAAGTGCCGTGGAGTGGGTTCCTACTCATAGTGAACCCCGCACAGGGTTTCCGAGGCTGTAAATCTTTATGGGAACAGAACGCCTCATCTTTCTCCCATGGAACTGCTGATAGGCCAGACCTTGAGGTTAACAGCCCAATTTGTAACCACTACGCTACCAGAGCTCCTGTATCATCTATAGGGATCATTTAAAATACTAATTGATTAAAATGTATGTGTTAGACACAAGAATCTTTCTGTGTCTAATTAAGTTACCCTAGAAACACATTAGCAGAATATCAAAGAAGAGTTAAAACAAAAAACAGTAGAGCCCAAGTGAATCTATTAAGTGAGAATATTTTGGAAATAAATTTTAATGATAATAGATGCTGCATTGCATACAATTAGATAAGACTTTTTAGTGTCTCCTATGAAATATTCAATGTGCTTTTGATTCAGTTGAATAATAAAAGAAACCTCTTTTTCTCTTTTTCTAGAACAATGCCACAGAAGAGGTTGAAGAGGTAAAAAATAAATAAGTACCTAAAAAGCAAACAGCGGGGACACCTGCAGTCTTAGTCACTGACAATGGGTTTAGGAAAAGTTGCACATTAGAGTCAAACCCCTTCCTTTTTTTTTTTTTTTTCTCTTTAAATCCAGTATTTAGAATAATATTTATGCTTAGTGTAAACATTCTGTGAATGAAGTAGACTCTTGTGGAATATATTAATATATTACTGTATATCCACATTTTCATGGAATGGTACTGTGGGAGACTGAGCAAACACTCTTCTGGCAACTTAGCGGAACAGCTTCTTAAAGGCTTTGCATGCTTGCTGCTTTAAGCTGCTTTTTTTTTTTTTTTGAAACCCCCTCTAGTGATTACATTATATTTGAAAGAAAAAGAAATTCCAATATGTGCCCTTAAAAACACCAAAAGCACTGTAAGGATATTTGTCTTGACACAGTGTCTATTGATTGAAGTCGTATTAGGAAATATTTAGACAATTGAAAATTATCAAGAGATAATTTACCTTACAATTTTGATAAATAGATGTGATTGGTTGCCATTTGTGTTCTTTTGCAGAACTCTGATAAGAAAAATGTTCAGTTTGTATTTAAGCAAACAGTGAACGACATTTGCAATCAACTAAAAATTCGTCTATCGAATTAGGGCTGAAAATTACTGTTAAAGAGTGTTGCAGTATGTCTGGTGGCTCCCTTTTCAGGACTAGGGTTTTCTCATGGAGTACAGTATGTTAATATTTACCTATAAAAACTAATCTGTTAACGGTTTTTGAAAAACCTCTATTTCAAATTATTTGAATAATCCTCATATTTTCATTTTAACCTATATAAGACTCTAATTTTTTTTTTTTCTGAAGAAAGCATTTGGTTTTAGAGTTTTTTTTCTTAATGTAAGAAGAATTGTATTTTTTTTAAGTATCTTCAAACTGAATCTTTTATGCACCAAAGTTGGTTTTTGAAAAGGAAATAGAATCATTTTCTTGCTTGGTAGGCAAGAAGCCATATGGATTTTTTTTAAATTGCAGAAATGGAAATATGTGTAACTTGTTAGTATTGTATCAAACAAATGTTGCATAGAGATAATAGAACATTGCTTGTAAATAATTCAGCAGATTTGTAATATATTTTTATATTATGAAATGTACTGTAGATGTTTTTCTAGAGGCATGGAAAATGTATATATTATGGTAGAAATAATATTGAAGGATATTGTAATTCACTAGTGCTGCCAGAGGAATTGTTAATAAAGCACCTTCTTTAACAATAAATGTCTTTTGCAGACTTAAGGGACTATGTACTACTGTTAATATCTTTAAGAACAAAACACATTGAACATCCTTCCAGAAAGTCTTTGAGGGAGGACCTGTACCCATAATAGAATTATGGCACTCATTTCTGACAGTGACCGTGAAATCAATTATTTCCTTACTGTTGGAAGGACATATTGTAAAGTATGTGATTATATGCAGTCAAACTGCAGAAAATACTCCTAATTGAGGAGTTTTCACTTTACTTACAGTAAATATAAAACCAGCAGTTTTTACACTAAATTTTTTAAAGAAATAATAGACAAAGATATAGAATTAAGCCTTTGGTTCCAAAATGGTTAAAGTTTCATGATACATAAATCATTTCTCATTTGCTTTAAAAAATTTTTTAAAAAATTATGGGAGAATTTATTCATTACAGTGGGTTAAAGAGCTTATATATGTGAAATGAGTCATAAAATTAAATAAGTGCAAATAAAAGCACTGCTACTATAAGACATTCTGGAATGGTTGTTTAATAAGGGTATTTTAATCCATGTGATCTGTAGCAAATGTTATTTTAAAAAGAAAAGCAGTGTGGCTTTTTGTTTTTGTTTTTTTCTTTTGCTTAAGCACTTCATCCATTGCTTTTATTCTGTATCTACAAAGTAATCTGCAATCTCCTTTTCTTTCTTTCTTTTTTTTTTCTGACTTGTTATGAAATTGCCAAATAGAAGTATTTCAGATATATAGTTTGTACTTGTATTTTTATTTTATTGCTTCATGTTCTTGTAAGTCATTCTTAATTGACCGATGATTGTAGACCTTGCCTGAATATTTTTTCTAATAAAACAAAGCAAATCACATTTAGCTTCAAAATGGTAACACTTTAATTAAATTTTAAAATGACATCTGAAAATATACATCTGATGCTTTCTTTAAGAGCACATGAATAAATTGCTTTAATCCTTTGTAGAAATACTTATATTTCAAAACCAAATTTCATGGTTATTGATTGGCCTCTAATATTCACTTACGATCCTTTTGCTGTTTATCTGCCTTTTTCCCTTAACACACCAGAGAGAATGTGGAATTAAAATGAGCTAATTTTGTAACTTATTATTATTATACACTTTCAGTTATAATTGAGAAATTAGTATGAAAATTTAAATTTGGAATGCGCATTTACTGATGTCTACACATCTATATTGTTCTTCTTCGTACTTCCCAAACTGGCATATGTGTATATGGCACCTGAAGTAATATTTTATTTAAAATTTATTAGCACATCAGAGAGAATGTGGAATTAAAATGAGCTAATTTTATAACTTGTTATTATACACCTTTAGTTATGATTGAGAAATTAGTTGGAAAATTTAAATTTGGAATGTACATTTACTGATGTCTACACATCTATATTATTCTTCGTACTTTGCAAACTCTGGCATACGTGTATATGGTACCTGAAGTAATACTTTATTTAAAATGTATTGTTTAATTCTGCATCAGGTGAATTACAGCCTATAAGCGTATCCATTCATTTACATGCTGTCTGTGACTTATTTCTGTTTTTAGTGACAGAGTTGAGTAGTGAGTGTTATATTAAATGTGAAATATTTACAAATTGGCCTTTGAAGAAGTATTCTGACTCCTGGTCTAGTTAATAAGATTTTTGGCAAAATAAATTTAGATGGCACAACTTGCATTTTTATACAATAGTATTAATTTGAAAATAAGCCAGTACATTAAAAATTAGTGAAAGTTCTTTGATATAATATACACTCTCATTTTCATGCTAAGTACTTGCAACAAAATTTTCCCCTCCTAAAATTTACATTGGATTTCTTAATAGTTACTAGTAGCCCAATATTACACCATTTATATTTTATATTTTGTTTATTAAATAGGACTAAATGAGATTTTGTAAATCAGATCATGTTTAAACCATATGGCACATCTGCTTTATCTAAGAGAATCTTTTAAAGTGGAAAATATGTAAAGTTTAAAGTTGTTTATTTTTCTAATAAACTTACTTTTCATATATAAATCTTCCATAAAGTGGACCCACATTATTACTTCTGAATTTAAGACGAAATTAAGATGGACAATATTAAACTCTCAGTGCATATTTTAAGATTTGTTGTACTTTCATTGCAAGCATTGATAATCATGTCAGTAAACCTTTGAGTGTAAAATTTTTTCTTTTGCATCATAATAAAATGTTTTAAAATACACATATATTCTTAAAAGGGATACATTGACCACAGGTTTATAAAGTATATTTTAATGTTTGGTATTTGAATTTTTTCTTAGTAATATGTGCAATTAATAAAAGTGTTCAATTTTTTTTAATAGAAATGAAATAATGGACAAATGAGGTTGAAGTAGTTGAAATAACCAAAGGAGGCTTTCTATTTAGTCACAATTCCCTCTTTCTTTAAAAATTGAAAACAAAACAAAGCCTCTATGTAAATTTTAAAAAAGCAAATAGATAAATACTTAGCTTAAGCAGATTCCTGTTAATATGAATATAAAGCCTGAGATTGCAGGCCTACAAAACTATGCTTATTTACATATGGTCTGTTTATGAAAAAGAGTTTGATTATATGTCATTTGAACGTTGTGCTTTTTTGTTTTTTAAAGTGTTTTATTTGAGGGGTTTTATGCTAAAATGTTTTTTTTTGTATTCTAAAATAATTACATAAGGGATGAAATTTTTCTTAGAAAATTTGCTGACTTCCCATTATTACTATATTATTTTTGTTAATTCGTAAAGCATCTGGCTACCTGATGTGTGTAGGAGACTCCAACTCTTATGGTTTAAAAAAATAAGGTCTTATGAATATGTTGTTATTTCAAACTTCATAACATTTTGTCTTTTTTGACGTGAGAGGTGATAATGCACCTTGTAATACCACACAGAGGTACTTTGTAGACATTATCAAGTGATTCTGCCGTAGTTATTTATGTGATGCAATCATGACATAAATAAGTCTCAAACATTTGTTGAATGCATATTATAGGTGAGTACTTTGTTACACAGTAAGATATTTTGGAAGTTTAGAAATGACCTGGCTAAAGTTAAAATCTGTGATAATGGCCATATAAACATTTTGTCTATATAACTTTTAGTATGAACCTTATAAAAGGAATTACAGTTTGTCCAAACTTTCTCAATGTAAAGAATCATTGATGCTTTGTATTCTCATATACTCAGTTGTCATTTTGATTTAATTTAAAAAATATGCTTCATTTTCCTAATTTTTCAGAAGAACCTGATTTTTTATTATGAGACCTCACTTAGTCTTCTGATACAAGTAACATGCATCAAATTTTCCTCTGAACATAGTTTTCCTTTGGGAGTTCATTAACTAAGTAGATTTGAACTAATAACACTTTTAAAGGTGGTGGTGGTGTACTGTTATGTCGATTCCAACTCATAGTGAACATACACAGGATTTCTGAGGCTGTAAACCTTTACAGGAGCAGAAAGCCTCATCTTTATCCCAATGTTGTTGTTGTTACGTGCTGTCGAGTCGGTTCCGACCCATAGCGACCCTGTACAGGGTTTCCGAGGGTGTAAATCCTTACGGGAGTAGAAAGCCTCATCTTTCTCCCGCGGAGCAGCTGGTAGTTTCGAGCCGCTGACCTTTAGGTTCGCAGTCCGATTCGTAACCACTACACTACCAGAGCTCCTTTTATCCCAATAGTTGATTAATTTAATTAGTTTTTGTTGTTTTGATCCCAGAGCATTATCCACCAAAGGTTTTTATATTTTGGGTCTTTTTTCCTTTAGAAAAGCATTAACAGTTTTGTGTGTGTGTGTGTGTTTTGAAATTTGGAAATCCTACTTTTAACATTTGACAGAAAAAGTAAAAAGATGACTTGAACAACACTGTCAGTCAACTTGATATAAAGCTGTGTCCCTAGAACACTTAACCCACTCAAGCAGAATACACATTTTTTTCAAGCACACATAAAAGGATTGAAATAATTGCAGTGCTTAATTAAATTAGAAGTCAGCAATAGAAATTTGAGTAATTTCCAAATATTTGGAAATGAGAAGACACACTTGCAAATCACCTATGGGTTAAAATGAAGTAAAAAAAGGGAATTACAGAATAATACTTTGAGTTGAGTAAAACTAAAAGCACATATCTGTGGGTTTTTGTTTGTCTTTTAATTTGAGGAATGATAATTATATATTTTAGAAGTTGAGCTTGATGTGAGAGCTTACTGTTGATTTTGTTGTTAAGTGCTGTCTAGTCTGATCCTACTCAGCTACCCTGTTTGGATTTCCAAGGAACCCCTGGTGAGTTTAAACTGCCTAACTTGTTTGCAGTCCAGTGCTGATTCTT